GATGAGGAACTGTGATCCCCTGTAGAGGGAGAGGCATTCTGATTTTGGGTATTCTCAGCCTTTTTAGGCTGATTTCTTCCCTTCGTTATAGATTTATCCATCTGTGGTCTTTATAATTACCGTCTTTATAGTTGGGTTTCTGAATGGACGTCCAACTTGTTGATTCCTGGTGCTAAAATCTGAGCAACCCACTGCGCCGGCCTAAACAATGGTGTTATGATTGATGGTGTTTTTCTGACTCTGCACCAAGAACCACCGCACCAAGGCAACGGCAAAACTGCCTCGCCGGCCACAAGAGTTGCACTGGTGACCCGTGGGGCTCCTCCGCTGGGAATCTCCTGGTGCGTGAGCAACAAAAATTGATCTGAAAGTGTGGCGTCCTCTCGTTCTCTGCACTTTCAGTGGGAGCTACAGTCCCGAGCTGCTAGTGATCAGCCATCTTGGATCGCTCTCTTCGTTTCTGTTTATGTGATGGATTACGTTTATTGATTTGTGTATGTTGAACCAGCCTTGCATCCCAGGGATGAAGCTGACTTGATCATGAGTGGTAATCTTTTTGATGTGCTGATGGATTTGGTTTGCCAGTATTTTATTGAGGATTTTCACATTGATGTTCATCAGGGATTTTGGCCAGAAATTCTTTTTTACTTGTGTCTCTGCCAGTTTTGGTATTAGGATGACCCTGGCCTCATAAAATGAGTAAGGGAGGAGTCCCTCTTTTTCTGTTGTTTGGAATAGTTTGAGAAGGAATGGTACCAGCTCCCCTTTGTACCTCTGGTAGAATTCGGCTGTGAATCTGTCTGGTCCTGGGCTTTTTTGGTTGGTAGACTATTAATGCCTCAATTTTAGAACTTGTTATTGGTGTATTCAGGGATTCACCTTCTTCCTGGGTTAGTCTTGGGAGGGTGTATGTGTCTAGAAATTTATCAGTTTCTTCTAGATTTTCTAGTTTATTTGCGTGGAGGTGTTTATAGTATTCTCTCATAGTAGTTTGTATTTCTGTGGGATCAGTGGTAATAACCCCTTTATCATTTTTTATTGTGTCTATTTGATTCTTCTCTCTTTTTGTCTCTATTAGTCTGGCTAGCGGTCTAGCTGTTTTGTTAATCTTTTGAAAAAACCAGCTCCTGGATTCATCAATTTTTTTTTTTTGAAGGAGTTTTCAGAGGCAGGAGGAAAAGTGACAGGCCCTGGAGAATGGGCTGCCTCCTTTCCTCCCCTTCCACGACGTCCCACTATTTCTAAGGGAAACCCTAAGATGATGTTTAACCCGGGCTACAAGGTCAGCCTTTCTCTGTCACGGTCCTTGAGGTCATTGTCTACCCTGCCCCTCCTCCACTTCCATTTCTGTGGCAGGGAGAAAGGAGGGGAAAGGTGCCATCCTTAGTGGTTAGCATTCGTTGTTAGGGTCTTCCTCCATTAGTGGCTGGTGCATGCAGAGCACAGGCAGAGAGCCCCAGGCATGCCAGATGGTGGTGTAGCTGCTGCCCCTGTCCAGTGGGCTCCATCCGGTCCCCAGGGCTGAGCTTCAGCAGCTGGAATGGTTTCACACCTGAAACCACCTTTGCAAAATTATGACTGAGACAGTGAAGATCTAACTTAACTGACTCCATCTTGCTTCTAACCTCCAAGCTGTCCTTATTCATTCCTGGGCACAGGCTGACTTAACTTTGGGAGCACAACTTAGTATTTATAGTTTAAACAAAGATGATAACAGCCCTTTCCCAAAGCAGACCTTCTTGACTGGGGATTAGATTGCCTTTGTAGGACTAACATTGGCCACAAGATCAGAAGTGATGGTTTAGGAATCATGCAGCTGGCGGCTACAAGATTCTGACTCCCTCTAAACTGCTCCTAAGATCAATGCTTGAGATATTTTGCAGACCCCACACTTGATGGATCAGTTGATACCGTCCAGATCAATAAACTGGCTCATCTGATCTTGTGGCCCCCCCACCCAGGAACTGACTGAGCACAGGAAGACAGCCCCGACTCCTTATGGCTCCATCTCTGACCAGTCAGCACTTTGGGCTCACTGGTTTCCCCCCACCCACCAAATTATCCTTAAAAACTCTGCTCCTGAATGTTTGGAGAGACTGATTTGAGTAATAATAAAACTCCGGTCTCCTGCTCAGCCAGCTCTGTGTGAATTGCTCTTTCTTGATTGCAGTTTCCCTGTCTTGATGAATCAGCTGTATCTAGGCAGTGGGCACAGCGAACCCCTCAGGTGCTTATACACCCAGTGAAGTTGAAAAGCAGGTTCCACCCAGAGTGGAGCTTTTCCTGACATGATGTTCCACCCCGTGGTTGTTGGTGCTGGAGTGTGAGTCACAGGCCCAGCCCAGGTATTTGAGACGCAATGACCTGAATAAGGACTTGAGCCAGTTTCCTGAGTGCCCTCGAGCCTGGTGAGCCTCGTGTCTGGGTAGCCTTCCCACCCACCGTGTCTGCTACCAGGAAGGAGCTGGAGGTTAAACAGGCAAAGCTGTCTTTTTTCTCCGTCGTCCTCTCCAGGAAGCAGGTGGCTTTGGTCCTGAGGAGTGGTTTGCTCTGGGTGGACAGCTTCTGGATGTTCTGTTGTTGCTTGCACATCCCAGGAGGGATCCGGGCAACACCGAAAACCTGGTTGATGTGTCCTGCGAGAACTCCTTAAAGGAGAAAGTAGCCAGGTGACAGTTATTTTGTTTACCTGGCAGGTAGTGACCTACCTTGGTGGTCAGATTGAGAGCAGCAGTGAACTGAGGAGGGTGGAGCTTTGGAAGTGCAGATGAACAGTGGGGTACACACTTGTGCCTTGCTGCTTCAGGAAGCTGCCTAGTGACACTCAGTCCCCTAAGTCAGCAAAAGATTGTTTCCCAGGGTGTCATATTGGACAGCTGGCTGTAGGGGGAGATTACCTCCCTGCTGGGAGCTTGCCTTGCTGTGAGCAGACTTACTGCCCAGAAAATAGAAGGGATGGGAGCCAGTTAAACAGCAGTCATTAAAAGGGGGGTGGGAGTAGGAATGTCAGAGTTCCCAGCCCTCCTAAGAGAAAAGTGATGTAGATTTCCATGCCATCCAAAAAGATACTGGTGTTTTCCTGGAAGAGCTTACTGTGGCTTGCCCATTCCCCGGAAGCATGCATTGTGGAAGCCTGCAAGAGAGTGTGTGTGTGAGAGGAAGCTGTGCTGAAGGACTCTCTTGATGGTGGAAGCTGCCCTGAAATCAAAACCTGGGATTAGCAAGCCTCCTCTAGGCAGGTGCGCTTGACTGGGTGGTTAGTGAATGAGTGGCATGCCTGGCCCTGTGAGTTGGGTGTCAGACACATTCGAAGTTTCTGCGCCTTGTCCAGTCAAGACTGAAGTTGTCTTTATTATCTTAGTAGTCAAGGGCATTTAAAAGCTTGAAAAGCATTTGACATACGTTAAAACTTAGACTGTTTATTTGGACTGTCTTAGAATCAACTCCAGATGGCAGGATTGAGTTGGGATTTTGAGAGGAATGTATTGTATAAACACAGTGAATCTTGCCATCAGTGGCTCCCTAGAGTCAATACGAGTTACCCTTCCTTGGTCACGGGGTCCACAGTTAACATTTACTGAGCTGGAGCATGCCAGCACTGTCCCTGGGCACTTAAGTTTGCTGTAAGTGGAAAACGTGGAGAAATAAACCTGAAATGAAAATTAGAGCAATCGATATAAAAGTAAAGTTTGCCCAGGGCGTGGGGAGGGAAGACAAGTGAAGGGTTTTCCTGACTTGCGGAAACTCCAAAAGCAAAAAGGCCTGGGAGGTTGGGATGCGTTCTGGAAGGGTGAGCCCAGCTGGAGTCAGCGCAGTGAGACCTGCAGTGGGACGAGCGAAGGGGTCTTCCTCAGATATTCTGGGAGCTGGGCACAGTGCTCTCCTGAGGGGCCAAAGAACCCCAGAAGGATTTCTTCTTCTTTCCTCCATGCGTGCGAATGCCACCACCGAGTCCTGAGTCAGCAGTGAAGCAGGCTGGTGTCCCAACCCCGTGAACCCACTGTGAACCCGCACTCTGGCGGTGGCGTCCTGTGCCAGCCGTGGGTTCTTGGCTGCTCGCCATGGCCAGGCTCTTGGCCAGGGCCTTGTGCAGAAGCTCAGGAGACAGCTGCCCGGGTCTCTGGGTTGTGAAGCGGGAGTCGGGATCCAGATCCTTCCCAGGCTCGTCCCTGTTCCCTACACTGCCTGCCTCCCCCAGGAGGGCGGGGGATTTTCAGGTGTGTTTTCCAGGGAGTAGCACTTTGGGATTTGTGTTTTTAAAAAGAGAACTCTGGAAGTCATGAGGGCTGAGTAGCTTCAAGAGAGACCACAGGGAAGACAGGTGCACAGCTGGGTACCGTGGGGAGCTGGGGCCTTGAGAGGACCCAGACATGCATGTTAGGCCAGGTCTGCTTTTTTGGAAAGCTCCCTGAGCAGGGGGAGATTGTGGCAGTTTTTGGAGCTGCTAGAATTGGCTGCCCTTCTACCAAACAGGCAAGTGAGTCAGAGGCCACACTAGGCGGCTCCTAGGCTCACAGGGACCTGGAGACATGGTGGAGGTGTGGGGGAAGCTTAGTGCTATGGGAGGGAGAGGGAGGAGAGGGTCTTGTCAGGGCACTGCTGCCCTGATGTGTGTGACGCCTCTGCCTCGAGTGGCTGCAGGTTCTCAGTGCTGGCTGTGCCTGAGGACCCCCTCGCCCCGTGAAGTGGTCTAACAATGGAAACACCCTGGTCCCCCTTCCGAGATCCTGGGACAGTGGGGCTGGAACACACTCCCTGGAGCCCTCAAGTCTGGTGTGGGCCCCCGATCACCTCCCACGGCTCCCGCCCAGATCATGATGGGGTTTTCCCTGCACTCTGGGGGTTGCTGCTCACTTCTCGGTTTGATGTACTTTCCTTGCTGGTATTTGTTTGTAAAACTTTCTAGTTCCTATGTAATAGTGAAAAATACCCTTTGATTATTAAAAAAAAATTCCCTGTATTCACTTTGAAAATGATTCGTTTCTGTTTTTGTTTTATAGGATACAAAACTATGGATAATAATGGAATATCTTGGTGGAGGCTCCGCACTAGATCTAGTAAGTATTATGTTGGATGCAGAATACATATAAACCTTTTTCTCAAGAAGCTGGGGTTTTAAAGAATCCGTTGTATGTATCCATTTCTTTTTCTTTCAAGCTGTATTAAAAAAGGAATGAAACTATTCCTTATGTGTTTTTGCTTCGTATGTATTACTAAAAATTTTTGGTCTACTTTTTTTTTTTTTTTGAGACAGTCTTGCCCTGTTAACCAGGCTGGAGTGCAGTATGGCACAGTCAGCTCACTGCTACTTCCACCTCCTGGGCACAAACGATTCTTGTGTCTCAGCCTTCCAATTAACTGGGACTACAGGTGTGTGGCACCATGCCAGGCCAATTTTTTTTTTTTTTTTTTAAAGTAGAAATAGGATTTCACTATGTTGGTCACACTGTTCTCAAACTCTTGACCTCAAGCGATCCCGCCCCCCCGCCCCAGCCTGCCCCCACCGTCTCAGCCTCCCAAAGTGCTGGGATTATAGGCATGAGCCACCACACCCAATCTATAGGTCTGCTTTTTAAAGAAGCAATGAAGGATCATGCCTAGAATTACGTCACCTAAGAACGGTTTGGTAGCTTATTTTCTGAAACAGATGTTATTTACTTTTGTACAGCTGTTATCTCATCATCGTTTAATATTTCACCTGACAACTTAGTTTCCACAACGAGCATGTAATATTTTCATTTTGGAAGTAAGAGGCAGGCTGTGATTACTGAGGTCGGGTGTTGGACGTGGGAGCATGGTCATGCCCAGGGGAGCACACATTTCCCCGCTTGCTGGCGCTGCCAGGGTGTGGAGGTGGGGCTGGCCTGTACCAGGGATGTCTCCTCCTCTGAACTCCCCTGCAGTGACTTCTGTGGCCTCCAGTCCACACGTCGGGTAGTGGAAGCCAGGTGGAGGTGGCTGTACTGTCCTGGTCTGAGATTCACTTGTGTAAAACCTGGCTTCCTGTTGGGTTTTGATGCAGTGCTCACAGATAACCAACATATATCACGAGCACAGTTGAAGTCATCCTTGAAACATAGTAAATGCAAACTTTTTTTTTTTTTTTTTAAAGAATTTGTACAGCCGTTTAGCACTTGCTGTCTCATCCCCGCTGTGGTTATGCAGCAAAGTCGCTGTGATAAGCACTCTGTCCCCACCCCTCCTTCTAAGCACAGAGCATTTAGGTGGGTGGTGATTTTCAAGATAGGCCGGATCTGTCTTTGTAGTATTAGAGGATGGGTCCCGGATGATTGACAGCCATCAGGATGACAGGCTGCAGTTTCCACTGCTGTTGCAGGGAGAGTGAAGGAAGGTGTGTTTTTTTAGTATAGGCTGCACAGATTTGATTCATTAAGGAAAGAAAGCCCCTTTGAGAGGAAACTTCTTAGGCCTGGTACAGTGGCTCATGCTTATAATCTGTGCACTTTGGGAGGCTGAGGTGGGAGGATCAGTTGAGCCCAGAAGTTTAGGACTGGCCTGGGCCACACTGCAAAATCTCATCTCTACAAAATTATTTAATTCTAAAATAAATAAATAATTTAAAAAAGAAAAAACTTCTTTCTCACAGTAATAGTAGCAATTGCTAGGTTTTTTTTGGAAGATAAACTTCTGAAACTATATGTATCTCCAGGAGGCTAATGTACCCAATTTACATACTCAGACAGTGTCACAAACCATAGAAACAATTGGTAAAAATGGTATTAAAAAGGGAGATTTTGGTTGGGCGCTGTGGTTCATTCACCATGCCTGTAATTCCAGCACGTTGGGAGGCCGAGGCAGGTGGATCACGAGGTCAAGAGAGGGAGACCATCCTGGCCAACATATTGAAACCCCATCTCTACTAAAAGTACAAACATTAGCTGGGCGTGGTGGCATGCGCCTGTAGTCGCGGCTACTTGGGAGGCTGAGGCAGGAGAATTTCTTGAACCTGGAACGCAGAGGTTGCAGTGAGCCAAGATTGCATGAGACTCCATCTCAAAAACTCAAAAGGGGGGAGATTTCAAGAAAAATTAACATGATATGAAAATTATGTTAAAAAGGGAAAAACAGCAACATAGTGGGATTACTTTTACGACTTATTTTGGTTCCTTTCCATAAATATTCACAGTACGTAAAGAGCTTTTCATTTTTTCACTCTGTTGGGAAATACTACAGAAATGTAGAAAATTACTTCATTTTCTGTAATTAGATTTACTATTAAGTGAATTTCATTTGTAGTATGAAGTTGTTAACAGGGGCTCTTTCCAACATTAAGTCCTTCAGAAGAGCAATTCCAGTAATGCTTTAGAATGTTCATTTTTAATGGTATGATAATTTGTTTGATGATAACCTTCTTCAGATTTCTTTGAATTGCAGTCTGTGAAATTTTAGACATTGCAGTTGGAAGGAAGGGTAAAACTCTCCACTAAAAAAAAAAAATCCCAGATGGTGTGAGACTCCCAGCAAACCGCTGTTCACTTATGCTTAAGGAGTGCTGGTGACAAGGGAAAGACACTCCTTTTTGAATGTCACTAATCATCTCATTTAATTGGTGCTGGGATGGAGACCCTGGGATGAGAGGTCCCAGCTAGCAGATAGAGCTGGGCCTGGACCCTGGCTCTGCTAGCTCAGAGCTTGTGGTCTCCCTTGACCCCACGCTGTCCTTCCCCGACCTCCGATGTTGTCGTCTTTCTTCATCTTTTACCCTTTTCTGTTGGCCTGCTCTCAGCCCTGCAAAGAGGCCATGCTTTGATGGAATGGGGTGTTTTGGAGGTAGGCTGGGAGCTGTCGCCGTCTTTACTTCCTTCCCATATCCACACCACTGGGCCCTCTCTAGGTGCAAGGGTCTCCCAGAGCCGAGGAGAATTGAAAGCCCATCAGGAATTTTACAGATGCATGGGGTGCCCTAGAGAGGGGAAGTGACTTTGCCCCAAGTTAAAGATTGGGTGGCAGACAACATGGCCTATACATAAATCTTGGGCTCCACACATCAGTGCGAAGGACGAAGCGGAGAGGCTTTAGGACTTGAAGGCTGGGAGGAGCCCAGGTCTGCTGTCGGACATGGGCGTTCCTCAGCTGGCAGGGGGTACATCCGTTAGCAGCTGCCTTTTCCACTCTCCGGGTGCTTTTTAACTTTTAAAACGATGCAAATTTGGGATCTTGTTTGGCAAATAAAGAGACAGTATTATTATTACTTTTATTTATTATTTTTGTAAGACGGAGTCTTGCTCCATCACCCAGGCTGGAGTGTGGTGGCGCATTCTCGGCTCACTGCAATCTCTGCTTCCTGGGTTCAAGTGATTTTTCTGCTCCAGCCTCCCAAGTAGCTGGGACAACAGGTGCATGCCACCACGCCCAGCTAATTTTTGTATTTTTAATAGAGATGGGATTTCACCATATTGGCCAGGCTGGTCTCCAACTCCTGATCTCATGTTCTACCTGCCTTGGCCTCCCAAAGTGCTGGGATTACAAGCGTGAGCCACCACGCCCAACCAGAGAGACGGTATCATTAAGAGCCATGAATATAAAATAGGAATACATTTTATTTTGAATGCTCGTATTTGAGTGTGCTCTGTTAAAAAAAATTTAAAATAAAATGGCAAATTGAAATTCAGTGTCCATATGATTCCCAAGGCCACTGTGCTCTTTGGAATATAGCTTGAAAACTACTGTCAGTCATCTCTCAAGTGCTAGCCACCTGCAGGGTGCCCTGACTTGGAAGAGCATAAGAAGTAACATGCAGTCCAAGACACCCTAACGTACAGTGCAGTCCATCTTTGTAGCCTAGTGAGGGAATCATTTTAAATTCAGCATAGACTTGTGTCCTCCTGCGTGTCGGGCTGCTCTGGCCATTCGGGTTATTGTGGTGGACACAGCAGTGGAGAGTCCTGCTCTCGGGGAGGACTGTCTGTGGGGGAGGGCTGTCAATTACACTGTTTGTTAGAAGGTTCCTTCCCACAGGGAAAACAAGGCAGGGGGAGGTGAATGGGGAGCTGGAGTGAGGATGAGCCACAGAGGGCCTGTGACAGAAGGTTTTAGCTGATTAAAAGATCAGTCAGTGTTGTCAAAGAATCCGAGGGACAACCTTGGAATCTAATTACAAAGGGACTATGCTACATAAATCAGTCACTTAATCAGGCAGAGATGTTTGACAAACTTAAAAAATGAATACACAGCATGGGTTTTAAGAAATGAGATGGCACGTTCATTAACGTATAGGCCAAGTTGCTATCACAGTAGCTCTAAAGCTGTGTCTCACAAAAGATAGAAATTAATTTCTCCCCCGCATGTGGGGTCAGTGGCTCTGGTCCACACTGTCATGGTCTGTGCTTGTGGGTGGCTCCACCATCTGGAGCCCCAGGCTTCCCTCGGTCTTCAGCCATTGTCCTCTCCTGCTGCCAGTGCTTCAGGGCCAGGACCAAGCAGGGGCACCTTTGTTCCTGCCTGTCCTGTTGGCGAGGTCTTAGTCACGTGACCACAGCCTGCTGCTCAGAGTCTGGGAAACGTGGTCTCTTGTCGTGGCTGTGCCCCTGGCTGATAGCTTTGAAGCAGGGGAGGACAGACTTGGGGAGAGGGAGTTAGACGTCACCCAGAGGTAGGATGTGGTCTAGGTTTATTTCCTGGCTGCTATTGGAAGAGTCTGTAACTGCCTGAATGATGGAGACCATATTCTGTGGGGTAGAAAGCAGCTGAATATCCTTCATAGTGAATTTTGATGCAGCAAGGATTTCCCCCGAAGTAAGTAGAGTTTATCTCTTTTTCTCCTCTTCCCCCTCGTTCCCCATGGGCATATAAATCAATGATGGATGGTGTTCAGGCCAGATTTCAAAGGGCAGAGCCATGCATATAGTCATCATAGAGCCAGCCCTTCATTAACCAGGGGAGGATTTCCCACGAGTTTTCCTTACCTCTTCCACTTAGCGCCCCTTGGGAATGACAGCAGGCTGCTCTGCCGTTGCTTTTGGGAGACTTGATAATGGAAAGGAGGGTGATCAAGCTGGGTCTAGCCACAGGTTATTGATATCTGCTTGGACAAAGACTTGGTGAAGTAGGAGATTGGAGATGGAACCCGACTCTTTTTTTTTTTTTTTTTTTTTTTTTTTGGGAGACAGAGTGTTGCTCTGTTGCCCAGGCTGGAATGCAATGGTGCGATCTTAGCTCACTGCAACCTCCGCCTCCTGGGCTCAAGGGATTCTCCTACCTCAGCCTATCATGTAGCTGGGATTACAAGCATGTGCCACCATGCCTGGCTAGTTTTCCTGTATTTTTAGTAGAGACGGGGTTTCACCATGTTGGCCAGGCTGGTCTCAAACTCCCGACCTCAGGTGATCCACCCACCTCAGCCTCCCAAAGTGCTGGGATTACAGGCGTGAGCCACCATGTCCAGCCTCTAATTTGACTTTGATCTTTGACCGACTGGTTTCTCCTGCACTCCACGGTTGTGAACAAAAGCAAATACTCCGACTCTATCCTCCTCCCTCCTTTCCCTCAGGTGATGAGAAAAGTCTGTGTTCCTTGTTTTAAAAATTAAAATTTCTACGTTCTATGAACACTGAAAAATAGATGTGGAGAAAGCAGACTAAAGGCAAGATTTTCCAGCTTGTGTTCTTTAGAATACTAGTTTCCACATGCATTTCTTGAAAATAAGACACTTGGTCAGATAACTGGGAAAAACTACGTTCTGGGGAACAGGGTATGTGCCGTAATGTCTTAGTCCGAGCTAACTTTTAGACAGTATCTTACTTGGAATTTGAGATAATTCCTGGCAGGCAGTGGCCACAGGCATTTCGATTTTCTCCAAGCATAGGTGTGAGGTCAAACTGAAAGCAAGTGTGTTCCCTGAACCTCGGTCCTGAGTGGAGGTGGCCAGGGGCGGCTGGATTCCAGGTGTGTCTGCTGGATTCCAGGTGTGTCTGCTGCCAGGCAGGCTGGAGTCCCAGTGAGGCCAGCGTGTGAGGAGAGGCCACCGCCAAGTGTGGGCCTGACCCCGGGGTTGCTGTGTAGACTGGGGTGGGCCTGCAAGCACAGCTCGCTGATGAGCGGAAAGCAGCGCCAGGTGTGAGTCAGGCTGGGGTTTAGGTGACAAGGGCTGTCTCAGTTGCCCCCACACTGCCCCATAAGCCCTTTAGGGTATTGAACAAGATGTCCTGGTGAAGCAGCTGGGAGGACACAAGGGGGACTGTCAGGGTCTGTCCCAAACATGTGCCCGCCTGAGTCGCTTCCCATGGAGGAGCCCCTGAGTTTCCATCCCTTGGCCTAAAGCATGTTTACTTATCTTTTTAAAACTTAGTAAAAGGCACCAGATTCTTCTTCCTATTGCCTAAAATGTGTGGATGTGGGCTGGGAAAACATTCACTGTCAAGTCTGAAAACACAGAATGGGGAACGGTGACTCGGGGGAAACCTGCTCGCATTGGATTAGATGTCTGCCCTCAGTCTGGCTCCGTGTCCATGGTTCCAGGGAGCGTTGGTGGCTTTGCCACTGTCATCCTGTGTGTGACGGACTGCCCCGCTCTGCCCGGGGCGGGGAGCTTCCATTCTGGTTTGAAGTGAGCCTGTGAACCCACTTTTCCTCTCCTTTTATGTGGAGATGTGCACACCTGACATTTCTCCCTTTCATCTTACACAGTTGTGGATATAAAGGAGTCAACAGAAACAATTATTTTGAGTTTCTGAGAATAAAAGCTTTCAGAGGTAATTATTACCTCAGGGATTAATAAATAGTAATTTTATTATATAATATCTGTTATATAACAAATCCCAAACTATTAGGATTTAAGCTCTTTCAGCTGTATTCCCCGAAGTTGGAGAGCTTTAACTGCAGATTTTTTAAATTCTAGTACAAAGATCTCAGAGGCCTTTGGCTCCTTGGCTTTCTTTCCTAGGTGTTTTTTTGGATACCAGGGGTGAGCCTTCTGGTAAGGGAACCACATATGTTAGGGCAGATCCTGGCTGCTCTGTGAGTTTCTGGGCTGTTTGTTTCCTGGAGTGAAATTCCCCAGCCTGTGACTGGCCCTTGCCAGGGCCTGAGGGGTGCCTGTGGTCAGCAGCAGGTGCGGGCGGGGCTGCGGGGTTTCCTCGTGGGCTCTGCTTTGCTTCTCTGCTGGCTTGGCTTCATTCAGTAAAGCCGTTTTCTTCTGGCTCTTTGTTTTTTTTAAGGGTCCTTTAGTGGGCTGTAATTGTTTGGGCAAAATCATGTGTTTTAAGTGAAGAAGATTTAAGATTTTATCCTTGTTCATTAACGTGGAGGTGCTTCTGTTTTGTCTCAGACTTCTCATTAGATAATCATTAAAGTAACTTTAAGAATTTGTTCTCTTCTTAGTTAGAACCTGGCTCGTTAGATGAAACCCAGATCGCTACTATATTAAGAGAAATACTGAAAGGACTTGATTATCTCCATTCAGAGAAGAAAATCCATAGAGACATTAAAGGTAAGAGCACGTCCGTTTTCCTGCCTTTGAGATACTGAAGGTGGAGGTGGGTGGCCGCGGGGTTTCCTCGTGGGCTCTGCTTTGCTTCTCTGCTGGCTTGGCTTCATTCAGCAGAGCTGTTTTCTCTGGCTGTTTGTTTTTTTAAAGGTCCTTTAGTGGACTGTAATTGTTTGGGCAAAATCAAGCCTTGCCTGGGCTGGGCTGGCTCTGAGGGTGTCTGACGAAAAATGTAGCTCTGGTGCGTGTTCTCGGGCCTGCCACCTGGCTGGGGACAAGAAGCGCGTGTTCCTTGCGGCAGTGCACGGAGTCGTGAGTCCACGCCGTCTAGGGCGCCCTTGGCTTTCCTTTGCAGCGGCCAACGTCCTGCTGTCTGAGCACGGTGAGGTGAAGCTGGCGGACTTTGGCGTGGCTGGCCAGCTGACCGACACCCAGATCAAAAGGAACACCTTTGTGGGCACCCCGTTCTGGATGGCACCCGAGGTCATCAAGCAGTCGGCCTACGACTCCAAGGTGAGGGGAAGGCGGGGGCCGGCACTGTGCCCCACTAGGTCTGGCCTCACTAGGTCTGTAGGGCTCCCACCTTTCACTCTTGAACCTGGTGGCTTTTCTAAGTTGGAAGGAAGCTGGTACCTTGAGGTGGGTCATTTGGGTAGCTCTTCAGCCTTGTTTACAAACAGTTTTATCCTCTGTCTCCTGCTCTGTCGTTTAATACCCTTTGCTTATCCAGCCCACCATGGCTGAGGTTTTTAGCTCAGGCCATGTGTGTTTGGTGGGGGTGGGGACACAGGACAGAGGGGCTGGGAGGAACAGAAGGGCTGCAGTGGCAGTGGTGAGGGGTAGCGGTGGCAAGGGCTGGAGGCATGTGGGGCTGCGGAGGGCTCCACCTGCTCTCTGGGCGCAGCTGGGGGTTGACGTGCAAGTGTATGATTCTCTGCAGCCTTGAGAGGACTGTAGGGAAGGGGGCTGTCTCCCATAAGAGAAAGAGAGGGGTCCACGGAGGTGAGAGAAGAGAAAGAGCGTGCTGCGAGTGGCTGCTGCAGAGTCTTCCTATTATGTTTAATTCTCAGGATTCTTTCCCAGCGGGTCCTTGTCAACATGAGATGAAATCTTCACCCTTTCTTCCCACTGTTCTCACTTGTCCTGTGTACGGTCTCCTACTTTTTCTCATACTCTTTTTCTCGGCTGCCCCTCCCTCTTTGTGAACTCTGTTAGATGGGACGAAAAATCCTGGGGCTTTGCCTCCTGGGGCTCCGATTTAACTTCAGTTCCCACAGTCTGCTCTTCTCAGGACCCTGCCTGCAGTTAACACGCCTCGTGATCCACAGAGAATAGGCTTTCCTGGGCCCCAGATTTCTGAGCAAACAAATATTTAGCTCAGATATGTGTCTAGGCCAAACGTTGCTGGTCTTTTAAATAGAAATCTTCCCAGTACTCAGTAGACTTCCCACCTTGTTAAACATAGTAGAGGAAGCACCAGGTGACTTTCCCTGCAGACCCAGGGTCACTTTGCCAGCCACAGACTGTTAGTGTCTGGTTGGGTGTGGTGTCTCATGCCTGTAATCCCAGCATTTGGGAGGCAGAGGCAGGCAGATTGCCTGAGCTCAGTAGTCGAGACAAGCCTGGGCAACATGGCAAAACCATGTCTCTACTAAAAAAAAAAAAAAAAAAAAATTAGCTGGGTGTGGCAGCGTGCGCCTGTAGTCCCAGCTACTCGGGAGGCTAAGGGAAGAATTGCTTGAACCCAGGAGGCAAAGGTTACAGTTAGCCAAGATCATGCTACTACACTCCAGCCTGGCTGACAGAGTGAGACTCCATCTCAAAAAAAAAAGTGTCCAGGTTGTAGCTCAGGTTGTGGGCATACCTGGTTCCACCACGGGAGGAGTGAGCCCGACTGTCTCACTGTTGAGTGGTAGCAGTGTCTATGGATTTTCTGAGCACTGTGGTGGCCCTGACAGCTGCTGGCCAGTGAGTGACTAGTGGTTCCCCCCCACTGCCCCCCACATAGCAGACCTGGCTGGTCTTGGGTGTGTGTGCTATGTGGGAGTGTCTCTGCCCCACGTGGGAGGGACACCGCCTTGGCTGCATCTCATTTCTGCAGCCACCTTGGCTGTTGGCCCTTTTCCTAGGCTCATGTAATTTTAGGACTTGACCAGGAGCTTACATGTTTAGTCCATGTTCTTTATTTTAAACTGAAGCCCATTTGTCAAAGTTCATCCGTGTAGATTTTGGTAAGGCTGAGGCTAGAACCCATGTTTCTTAACTCATTGGATGACACCACCCTGATTATTCTCTTCTCATTCACTGTAATAAAATAGCTGATCTGCCATGTGACTGAGGACTCTGAGCTTAGATTTCCTTTCCTCCCTCTCTCCCCACTCCACCCCTCCTTCTCCCTCCCTCCCCTCCATCCCTCTCTACCTCCCCTTCCTCATTCCTCCCCCTCCTTCCTTCCTCCCCCTCCTTCCTTTTCTTTCTGTCTCCCTCTTTCATTACCGTGTTTATTTCATATTGATTGTTTCATTCCTTTAGCCCATTCAGTGTAGACACATTTTTCTAGATTCCAGTAATACCGGAGTAGACAAGAACAAAAGTCTCTTCTCCTGTACATCTTAAATTCATATGGGGGAGACTGACAGTAAACAAGGAAGAATTAACAGCACGTTAGGAGCAAGCGGGCCATGTTGTAGTCACCTTTTTCAGTGAGTTACCTGCCTTAGGTGAGAAATAGCCCTAGAGAGTGGCAGGCAGAAGGTGTGGGCCCCTCAGCATGAGACCATTTCAGAGTTGGGCCCTGGCGAGATGGCATTCTAGTTGAGACTCGAACTGAGAGAGGTTTGAAAGAGTTTTGAAAGAATCAGTGCACAGCGCTAATTGGTGAAACTCCAGAATAGATATAACTGAAGCGCTTTTAAAGATTTAAAACTTACCTGAAGTTAAGAATAATGTGAACCTATAAGTCAAAGACGTTGCCTGGTGCCAAGCCAAGTGAATGAACAGAGATGATTTACATATGTCAGAATCTTTTCAGGAGGACAAAAGGTGTGTTACAAACATTAAACTTAAAAAGTTAGGTGCCTTCAAATGAGGAAAATCAAGCTGGTGTCACTGATTCACAAATTTGTACTGAGCAACTGTGCTGTGAATACAGCTGTGAGCAAGACGGCACACTCCCTCCTCTCCTGAGGTCGAGAGAAGAAACGGTAAATAAGCAGTTTCAGATCACGCAAGTGCCACGGAGAAAAGGAAACAGGCCATGTGAAGATCGACATTTTTAGTACCACCGTCATTGCTTGCTTGAGAACCTTTCTTCAAGAGCTGCCCTGTCTGCCTGAGCCGTCCCCACCCGCTTTCCTTAGAGGGCAGGGCCTCCGTAGGTGTTCACTGCAGCGATGTCGCAACATCACACCTTGGCCAGCTGCCTTCTTCCAGCTCTACAGCATCAGGAGGCTCTGGCCAGGTGTGGTGGCTCATGAACACCTGTAATCCCAGCACTTGGGGAGGCTGAGGCTGGGAATTTGAGACCAGCCTGGCTAACATGATGAAACCCCATTTCTACTAAAAATACTAAAATTAGCCGGGCGTGGTGAACGCACGCCTATAGTCCCAGCTGCTCAGGAGGCTGAGATAGGAGAATCGCTTGAACCTAGGGGGCGGAGGTTGCAGTAAGACCAGATTGCATCACTGCATTCCAGCCTGGGCAGCAGAGCAAGACTCTGTCTCAAAAGAAAAGGAAAAAAAAAAAACATCAGAAGGCTTTGATCTGATCAGTAGGTGTTGTAGTATTGTGGGGTGGGTTAGAGAGAGTATGAAAAAATGTGTCACATTTTTGGTCAGTTTTTACCTTTACCCTGACTTGTGTCAGAAGTTAGTTGTTTCACTTGCTTAGATCATACCCAACAACTCTGAACTGGAAATCCTGAGCCAACTCTTATGCTGATGTGAAATTGACTTTCTAGGTTTTTTGATCTGGGAGATGTGTGGTGAGGACCTGTGAGGGTCACATCTGTGTCTGCGTCTGGAAGGAGGGTTTACCAGAAGGGGGGTTTCAGGCTGGGCCTTAGGGCTGAGATTTCCCCTGCTCCCCCCCCCCCCCCCCCCTGCGCCTCTGGACTGGCAGCTGTTGTCACAAGCATGGCCTGACAAGCTTGCTCTTCCACCCACCCCGTGTGTGGCCCTCCAGTGGCTGGATTGCCTCCTGCGCAGCCAGTGCTCCTCGGGGTGCACTGGAGGCCGTTCTGGTCTTGTGACTCACTCAGCTGCTTCCCAGCTTTCCCTCCATTCTCTCTTGCGGGACTCCTAGACAATTTCCCCCCTAGTCTCTGCACTGCAGGTAAGGAAAGACCTTCCCGTTATTGGGGACAGGGTTCTGTATGGTAGTTAGGAAGGCATGTGCCCAAGCCACACGTAGGTTCACACGGTGATTCTCGAAGGAAGGGAGGGCTGGGAGAAGTGATGGACTTCACCCGCTTTACTAGCTTCTTCATCTCACTGAACTAAAGGGAGTACACACCTCTGTTTGCTGTTTATCTTTAGAACCTGTTTGGGACCCTTTTCGAGCATTGTCACCTCTGGCACTACCTGTGTCCCCTTGTCTGGGTTGCTCAAGTGTTACTGAATGTGTTTGCATACAGAGGGCATCTTCTGTCCATCTAAGTTCTTAACCTAAGCATGACATTACTAAGTCTTTATTGCCCACATGTCATAAGAACCTTCATGACTAATGTTTTAAGGGGATTTTGGGAAGTTAGGTTTGTTTGAAGGAGTCCCTATGCTTGGGACGTTGTGCCAAGGGAGATAACTCTGCTCACTGCCAAGAAGCCACCGGTTTCAACACTAGAGAGAGGTCCTGGGCTGAAGAACTCAAGTCTCCCTTTTTCCTTGTAAGATTTTGATGATGGTATGTTAGCGAATGGATTGTGCTTGGTTTGCAGTCCACCCATGGTGGAAAGTGGAAATTGGTGATGCATTGATGGAGAAAAAAACATAGTTGAAGATGAGTGAAAGCGTGGTGGGATTAGCTGACGAGCTGCCAGAAGCCAGGCAGCTGGCCCGTCTAGTGCACTGTGCACCAGCCCTTCCTGTCACTGGGCACTGAGCCCACAGCCTCCCTGCTCCTGCATCCGGATCAAGAATTACTCACAGGCTTGGCTGGGAGGATGAGCCCTGAGGGTGAGGGAAGAAGGTGAAGTGGGAGGCAGCAGGCTTTATTTTCGAAGGTAGTAATGTTTGGTCAACCACATGTTGCTCTTAATGGTGATAAATATCACCTGCGCCTCTAGAGACCACTTACAAGTGTGTTCCTAAAGATCGCATCTGCTTAAGTAATACGCTTATATTAAGTCAGATTTTGTTTTGCCTGGTTACAACTGTGACTTAGAGTTATCCATGGTTTTCTTCTTCCTCTTAATTATAGAGTTGATTGGTTTCTTTTAGAATTATTTTCCCTATTTAATTTAAAAACTATCACTTAAATTGTATTGTACGTTTAGATTTGTAGCCAGCGTTCTTTATCTGACACGATAGTGTGAAGATGGAGGATGCTGCTGGGTAGACTCCCACCTCTCCCATTGTCAGGGAGAGTCCTGAACCATCAGTGACCGGGAGCTCAGGGGTCACTCCGGAGCGAGCCCCAGGAAGATGTGCTCGCAGTGAACATGCGCATTTGCAGCTTCTGACTGGAGCGTATGTTAGAAGCCAGTGTTTGCTTTCTCTGTCGGCAGTGTCTTAGTATCTCATTTCATATCTTTCCCAAATGGCCCAAAATGGGTCTCTCCTTTCACCTCATTTTAATTGCTTTGGAAGATGACTGTCTGTTCCCCACATAACGTTTACTTTAAAACTCAGACACGGGCCAGGCGTGGTGGCTCACGCCTAAAACCCCGGCACTTTGGGAGGCCCTGGTGGGAGGAGAGCTTGAGGCCAGTTCAAGACCAGCCTGAGCGGTAAAGCAAGACCTACCCCCACCTCTGACTCCTGCCTCTTGAAAGAATTAAAGAATTAGCTGGGCATGGTGGTGTGCCCTATGGTCCCAGCCAGCTATCTAGGAGGCTGAGGTGGGAGGATGGCTTGAGCCTACGAGGTCGAGGCTCCAGCCTGGGTGACAGGGTGAGACTCCACCTCAAAAACAAAACACCTCAGAGACAAGTTCTTAATCTGCTGTCATGTTTCCTGGAAGCAGTAATAGATATAAGTTTCCTACCAAGACGTTGAATACCATACTTCATTAAGTTAATGTGCCATAGCAACTTATTCTTCTGAGGTTGAACATAAGTAATGCTGCTGTTGAATATTTTGGGCATATACCATCTTCCAAATTTAAAATTTAGTATAGATGCCTAGAAGTGGAAGTAATTGGTTTTCACAAGTTTGGATATTTTTGTGGCTTTCGATGTGTTGTATGGCCAACATTGCTTGCCATTGATTCAAGTGCCAGTCCACGTTTCCAAATTAGTCATAGTTAGATGTCTGGCAGGAGAGCCAGCAGGCAGGAAGACCACGTGGGAGCCCCCCACAGAAGTCCTGGGGAGAAGAGATCGCTTTAGACTGATCCAAGTTAGGAGGGGTAGAGGGGACGCAGGGTGCTGAGAGCTCAGCAACCATCCATCCTGGGATGCGGCTGGATTTAGGAGGGTCCAAAGGGCGGTCCTAAGGAGCTGGGTGACCCTTGGGCTGCTGGCATGGCTGCCTGGAGGATGGCTCCCACTTTTCTTTTTTGATACAGGGTCTGACTCTGTCACCCAGGCTTATAGTATTGCTCACTGCAACGTCTGCCTCCCAGGCTCAAGTGATTCTCCTGCTTCAGCCTCCCAAGTAGCTGGGACTACAGGTGGGCACCACCACACCTGGCTCATTTTTGTATTTTTAGTAGAGATGGGGTTTTGCCATGTTGGCCAGGCTGGTCCCAAACTCCTGGCCTCAAGTGATCTGCCTGCCTCAGCCTCTCAAAGTGATGGGATTACAGGCATGAGCCACCGTGCCCCAGCCCCCATGTTTGTTCTTGATGGGGCTGTGCTGCTGCCGTCCTGGGAAGCCAGGCGAGCGTTGTGTGGGTTGCATTCAGATGGGGCTGGCAGGGTTTTCTCAGTGGACTTCCCGTGGCACCCACTGGCTCGTGGAAGCAGGTGTTCGCTCCTCTGTGCTGGCTGCTGCTTGCTTACTGTCTGTCCCTGAGCCTGAAAACCAGTCCTCGGGCCTCTGAGTGAAATCAAGGCAAGTGCGTTACCAACGTACTCCTCAATAGAGACCGGCCACTGCCGGGCCCTGCCAGTCACCGAGTGTGCTTAGCTGATTGAGAGGTGCTTGGAGGTCTGGAGGAGCCTCCGTCAGAGATCAGGTTCAGTAGCACAGTAGGGTGACCATAGTTAATCATTTATTGTGTTTCAAATAGCCAGCAGAGAAGATTTGGAATGATCCCAGCACAAAGGAATGATCCATGTTTGAGGTGAGAGGTGGTATCCCAGCTACCCAGATTTGATTGCTACACACTGTATACTTGTACCAGAATATCACATGTACTCCCAAAATGCGTGTTAACTATTACATGCCCTTAAAAATGAGAAGGCTCTGGATCTGTGTGGCCAGGAGAGAGCATGCTTTGAAAACAGCGGGAACTGTAACGAAATCTGAGATGCCTGGGAAGCAGACAGATGTGGAATCACACAAACTTGAGAGTCACCTGTTGGTGTGGAGAAGCGCTGCTGGGCATGGGTCATATTAGTTGCCTCTGTTCTTGCCTCTCCCCTCCTTCCTCCTTGTGCCTGCCCACTCCTGTCCTCCTGCTGTGGCCATGGTTCTGGATGCTTGCCCATCTTTGTACCCCTGTGCACCTGCCTCCCCCTCCTAGGGGCAAGAGCCAGGATCAGTTGCATTTCTGCTGGTTTATAAGATGACACAATGCAGACTAAAGCAAAGAGCCCAAGTTGTAGAGGGAAGGAAATTATTTGTATTTCTTGTAGCATCAGCTTTTCTAGACTGACCCCTTCAGTATAGTATTTAGTAGAAAGAATTTAGAACAAGACTTGCCTGCAGCTTTTTGTCTTCCCTGAGAATAAGGAAATAGAATATGCCATAGGCATCATTCCCATGGGCTCAGGGGCTTCCAGTAGGGATTTCTGGTACTCGCTAAGGTTGCAGGAACATGGCAAGTGTGTCCTCTGGAGAGTTAAAGCACCTTGCAGCCACCACAATGATGCTTCAGCCTCTGCATTTCCTGCTGAAGAGTGAGTGCGAGAGATGTATTGAGTTCTAACTGAAGTTCTTGGAATGGTGATGGATTATAGTACACAGCGAGAGCAGCAGGGAAGCTGTACCAGAGTAAGGCGTGTTCGCTACCCCGGTCCCCAAGTCATCTTCTGCCAGCCCATATAGGACTATATCCTGCCTCACTGTCAGCTTTGGTCCTGTGTGGGGATTGGTATCATCTGCTGTCAAAGTCTCAGCTGTCAAGTTCCTCTTAAGACTACCTGGCTCTTCTCATTTACATGACATGTTCGAGGACTTCGTTCCTTCACATAACTGCTTGGTTGAGCAGAAGGAGGTGGGGCAGCTGGACTCGAGGTGCGCTGGTTGGGGCCACACAGTTTTCACAGATGTCTCCCATCGGACATTTGGCAGAAAATGCAGGCACTAGAGAAACACAGTAAATGACACCAGGAAGAAACCACTAGACAGATCCAGAACTTGGGACCGGTTTCAAGTTGATGGCACTGGGGAGAGGACTGTTGTAGGCTGAACCAGTCTGTTGTACCCCGTGGACTGTGTTTGGATCCTGATTCAGATAAACCGGCCGTGGAATGACTGTTTTTGAACAGCGGAGAACATTTAATTATATAGGACATGGAGGAATCGGTGTTAATTTTAGGCATTGATAGGTAGTAAAAAGTCCTTACGTTGGCACACTGAAGTAGTCGGCGGGGGGATGATGACAGAGTTATTTTAAAATCCACTATGGGAACACAGAGACGTGGACAAAGCCTGTGTGGGAAAATGTTAATAATCATGAAATTCTTGCACTCGGTTTATGAGGATGCTTTATATTACTATTTCTCAGTTCACTGTATGTTTGAGCATTTTTGTAATAAACTTTTTTTTTTTAAAGTTATGGGCCCCATGTAAGGCACCTGGCTCGGCCACCTCCTCTTCCACTCGCATTCTACAAATTCGGGAAACAAGGCTCAGTGGTTAGCCCTTTCATCCGATGTCACAGGACTTTGTCTGTAGAACTGGCATTTCAGCCCAGGTCTCTTGAGACCAAGGTACCTGCTCTTGACCTCAAAGCTGTGCCCTAAGTTCCAAGCACTGCTGGAGGGGGTGACCCACAAGCGTACTCCCTCTCTGGACTCCTCTCTGCTCACCTCTCCTACCGGTCCTGCTGGCTTCAGGGACTCCACAGGGAACGCCGAACGCATCCAGCAGGAGGTGTGTTAGGAGTGGCTTGATAAGTGGTCTTCGTGTAGAGGCAGAAAGCATTTGGCGTGTTATACTTTCTCCTGTCACTGTCTCTTGAATTTATAGGGAGGACTTATGTTTTTAAATAGCAGTTAAAAATACCTTTCTCCAAACCTCGGAAGTCTTGAGACATGTTACCATTTTTCCCATAAATACTGTTAATTGGAGTTGATTTCTGCTTGGTGTTGGTAAAGATGCTTTTCTTGTTGCAGGCAGACATCTGGTCCCTAGGCATAACAGCTATTGAACTTGCAAGAGGGGAACCACCTCATTCCGAGCTGCACCCCATGAAAGTTTTATTCCTCATTCCAAAGAACAACCCACCGACGTTGGAAGGAAACTACAGTAAACCCCTCAAGGAGTTTGTGGAGGCCTGTTTGAATAAGGAGCCGAGCTTTGTAAGTTTCCTGGGGATCCGAACGTCCCTCCTTATGTGAGTCTTGACTTGGTTTAGATACGTCCTGTTGGGATTTCTTTAATCACTCTTTTCAGCTGTCTTCATGGAATTACTCATTTTTCTTTTTCTATAAATAAGTATGATTGACCTCTTTGGTTTGCAAATGCATTTTATAAGTATCAGCAATTTCCTTTAGATTTCTGCCATCTCATACTTTATTGAATCTGAAGAATATTCTCCTTAATATCAAATGTGGAATCATCAAAGTTTAATATTGATAGAGGATCAGGTCATAAACTGTTACACTGTTTTTAGGAATGGGAAAGTGTAGCCCGGAAATAAATGGCTAAATATGTCTTTAAAGTAAATGTTTTCAATTTCCAGGTGGCATGTGTTAGGAAACAGAAGATTAGAAAATACAAATACAACCAAGCCCCCATCTTTGCTATCCCCGCCTCTTCCTGCCTACTTCTCTTTTTAGGTTTAATAGACTCTGGCAGAGCCTTACAGCAGTAACGACTGTGTGGCTTTGCCTTGTTTTCTCTTTGAATTAGGACATTTCTTTGACAGTTGTTGGTGTGTGCTGGTGTTGGATGCAGCACCATATGTCCTTGTTTTGTTTTGAGTTTTCCAGCAGAGTTAGCTGAAGGCCAAGCTGAGCCCCCCATTTCCTATCTCTTAATTAAAAATGGGTGGTTACTTTTTCAAGAGCATCATGGTTTTCTAATATGCTGGTTTTGGTAAAGGAATTAAGTGGGGAATGCAACATGAATGCAACATTTTCTTTTTTTTGAGACGGAGTCTCACTCTGTCACCAGTCTGGAGTGCAGTGGCATGATCTTGGCTCACTGCAGCCTCCGCCTCCTGGGTTCAGGGGATTCTCCTGTCTCAGCCTCCCGAGTAGCCGGAACTACAGGTGCGCTGCGCTACATCACACTCAGCTAATTTTTGTATTTTTAGTAGAGTTGTGGTTTCACCATGTTGGCCAGGCCGGTCTCGATCTCCTGAACTCGTGATCCACTGCCTCGGCCTCCCAAATTGCTGGGATTACAGGTGTGAGCCACTGTGCCCGGCCAGAATACAACATTTTTTAAGCACCTCTAAGGAGATGCAGCCGGAGACCACCACGCCAGTGATGGATCACCCCATCAGCGTCAGGTAGTGGTGAGGCTTGTCCTACGTGCCACGATGCTCTGCATTTTATTACATGATGACGTTTGTTGCAGCCACCATGCACTGGTGGAGATATGGCCGCTTGCAGGCATGCCTTCCCGTGCACAGCATGTGTCTAGTATGGGCTTATTCCCCAGCACACACCCGCTCCACCCTACAGCTACTGAGGAGCCAGCTGAGAGGCGAGAATGTGAGCACCTCGGGGGTAGCTGGGGTTTACCCTCATGTAGACAGGGAGGGACAGTACCTGAGGTGATTAGGTTTCTCACGAGCTTAAATCTGAAAACGTGCTTGACTCTTATAATCAAACTTTCGTAGTTTGGAGTGAGTGGGAACTTGGTTTGACTCGATGTTTGGGTGTTCCTTCTGTCTGTTCCAATTTGGGCCATGCAGGTTTCCTTGGGAAGCACATTCCCTGTCACTGTCACCATCTTCAAGGCAGGTAGCTGGCCAGGTGCTGCTTGCGGTGGCCATGCTGAGCTCAGGGCATGGGTAAAGTCCTCAGCCCAATAACAAGGGAAGGGAGGGACCTGGGAAACAGCCTTTCTAAACTGGGACAGTGGGTGATGAAGAGCACCCAGCTATTCTCTCAACAGACAGGAAAAAGGGCTTCTGCTGTCTCTCTTACGGTTTCTTTAATTCCAAATTGACATTTCTATTATGTGCCTGGATGTGGTGAAACATTAATACAGAAAGTTAACAAAGCGGCCAGGCACGATGGCTCACTCCTGTAATCCCAGCACTTTGAGAGTCTGGGGCAGGTGGATCACCGGAGGTCAGGAGTTTGAGACTAGCCTGGCCAACATGGTGAAACCCCATCTCTACTAAAAATAGAAAAAATTTGCTAGGTGTAGTGGCACATTCCTGTGGTCCCAGCTACTCAGGAGGTTCAAGCAGGAGAATCGCTTGAACCTGTGAGGCAGAAGTTGCCGTGAGCTGAGATCTCACTACTGCACTCCAGCCTAGGCAGCAGAGCAAGACTCTGTCTCAAAAAAAAAAAAAAAAAAAGTTAAAGCGACCCAGAACACACATTTTGTCAGCATTTGTCATAAAGTATTTTATAAATTAGGAGATAAGCTCTCATGAATAATCCCCGTGAAGCCCTGTGCAGAGTTTTCTGTGGAAGTGCATTTATCTGGGGGAAGTTCTTGTTCTTTCATTGGATGGCTACCTATAGAATATTAAGGACCTCCTCGGAAACTCAGCGCCATGCCCACCACAGCACCCGGAGTCCAGGCGTAGATCCTGAGACCCTCATCTTGGGGTGAGTCACAGTGAGAAGAGCTGTGGAGTGGAGTCCAGTCATCCGGCGTCGGTGTGCAGGCTGATGTTTTGAGGCTGAAGTCTGTCCTTTCGGGGGGGATGGAGAGCTTCATCTCATACTTGGGTTGTTGTGTGTGTGTTTTTCCAGAGACCCACTGCTAGGGAGTTACTGAAGCACAAGTTTATCCTGCGCAATGCAAAGAAAACTTCCTACTTGACCGAGCTCATCGACAGGTACAAGAGATGGAAGGCCGAGCAGAGCCAGGACGACTCAAGCTCTGAGGATTCTGACGCGTAAGTGGCCCCTGGGCGGCCCGAGCATGCTGTGGAATGCAGCCGCTGGTCCTTGACACTTGTTTGGTGTGCATTTTGTTTCTTGCTGAGTTTTTTTCAGATAATCCAGGTTGGTGGCTATTGTTGTGTTAGACACAGCGTGGGTCTGTTTGGGCATCATTTAGCCTCTTGATGATGTCGGTGGAGTTTCTGCGAGTGAACTCGGTTTGAGCTGTGCGTAGGGATCTGGACCTGGCTCTTTCGCTCTGTTCTGTTTGTTTTCCGTTGCACTTCCTGTTCCTAAAATCCTGGTGAGGTGAAACTGTCACATGAATACCTGAAAGGCTAGAAATGCATGTTTTTGTGACTCCCTGTTGAGTCTAGTAGAAGCTCTGTACCAGGAAGTGACTTACTGAGAACTGTTTTCAAGCTTGGCATCTAGGAGTTCCTTTGGCTTCAGAGGCAAAGTGGGGCTGCAGCCATTTGTGTGGGGAAGGCTGGTGAGGCGGTCGGGCCAGGGATGTGTCAGGAAGTGGGAGCCTGGGAACCCATCCGTTCTGCACGCCTTGGCAGGAATAAGGTTGGTTCACAGTGCAGTTCCATGCTCCAGGTCAGTTGAATGAAGGTTTCTGGGGATGAGACCCTGAGTGGTTTTTCAGGGTTTCTAGGTGATGCCAGTTTAAAGCCAAGGTTGAGACCACTGACCTTGGAAGTTCTTGAGGTGCTGCCATTGGGAGCTTGCAGGGGTAGCCACAGAGATGACGAGACGAAGAGACTGGAGAGAGGCTTGGAGAGCTAGGACAAGGCGGTGGATTCGGGTCAAGGAGGGAAGCTGGTGTCCAGGCCTGGGCAGTGTGGCCGCAGGCATTGTGATGTGAGGTGCAGGAAGCCGGGTGTGGGTGGACTGTGTGTGTCAGTCTGAGTTGTCCAGGAGGAGACGTCCAACGTGAAGTGGCATGGAGGTGTGGAGTTCAGGTGAGGCAGCTGGGCAGGTGAGGCGGGCTTAGGGGTCACCTTCTGTGGAAGTCAGTGGAGCCAAGAGAGCAAAGGGTGTCAGTCGGGGTGTGTGGGGGAGTGAGGCTGGCCCATAGGGAAGCTGGTATGAGGGTGAGGCTCCACCTGTGAGTGAGAGGGGACAGGTGTGGCAAGGGGCAGGAGGACGCGCAGGCTCAGTGGGGCCACAGGCATCAGTGGGGCAAAGGGATCATTGCCCCTGAGGCCCACTCGGGATAGGGAGTGACCAGCACATCATCATCTTATGAGGGGCCAGGGAGTATCCAGAGGGACATGAGTGGGCTTTGGAGTGCGTGGAGGGTAACAAATGGAGGCAGCGAGTGTGGATCCCAGAACCCAGGCTGAGAGACGGCTGTGGTGAGGCAGGACGCAGGGACGCCTGCCTGAGCGGTGAGAGGAGGAGCCCAGCGGAGAGAAGCTGATGTCCCTGAGAGGGGTTCCCAAGGAGGTGTCCTCTGGGAGGAAGAGGAAGAGGTGGAGGAGAAGGAGGGTGGGCATGCACACGGTGGCACCCAGGGGGGTGTGGGAACCACCTTCCGATGGTCCCTTCTCTGTGAGGGAGGCAGGAGCATCTTTGGAAAATCCCAGAAGGACTGGGCAAGGATGTGATGGGTGGGGACTTGGGGTTGGTGGGTGTGGATTCGGCGGTCCCCGAGTCCTCAGAGCAGGTGTGCGAGCACTGACGGGATTTCCCTGCATTTCTGTGTTAAGGGAAACAGATGGCCAAGCTGCAGGGGGCAGTGATTCAGGGGACTGGATCTTCACAATCCGAGAAAAAGATCCCAAGAATCTTGAGAACGGAGCTCTTCAGCCGTCAGACTTAGACGGAAACAAGGTATGTCTGCGCCTTCCAGAATGCTCACACCTGACCTCAGTTCACAGGGTTTTTGCAGGCACTTGTGTGTGAAGCTTGCTGTGGGTGCAGGTGGGGTCCTTTGTGGCAGCTGTTTTTTGTTGCTAGGGGGTGGACAGGTCAGGAGCTTCAGTTCTGTCTGATGATCCAGCTCACACCGGGGAGTCTGGCCTCTGCTCTGTTCTGTGCCGCTCCAACCTGTTCCCTGCAGCTCTGCCGTCATGGGGTCTCGGGGTGAGGTCTCCTGTGAACTGATTTCATAGCTGTCTTTGAGGGACTGTTTTGCATGTTGGGGTTACTTACTTACATGTCATAATTTTGTGATTGAGTTTTAGGGACGTTACAAGTAACTGCATTGCTTTTGATATTTATGTAAAACAATTTTGATTAATTGGTTTTATGCCCATTAAAGTTACAAAAGGCCATCTATTTAGGGTCTTGTAAAGCATAGTGGTGTAGTTTCTCTCAGGCAGGGTGGGCCAGTGCTGTCCCCTGTTGATCCTACAAGTCCTGCTTTGATAAGTGAACAGGTGTTCAGTGTCCACGTGGAGGCTGCAAAAGTAGAAACTCGACCTCAGTCCTAGACAGCACTTGGAATGGTTGATCTTGACCTGATTTCTATTTCCAGGTTTGCATTAGTAAAGTACTTTCTCTCTGTCTCTCCCTGTTTTTTTTTTTTTTTTTTGAGACAGGGTCTCTGTCACCCAGACTGGAGTGCAGTGGTGTCATCATAGCTCACTGCAGCCTCAAACTCCTGGGCTCAAGCGATCCTTCCACCTCAGCCTCCTGAGTAACTGGGATTGCAGGCATGTGACACCATGTCCAGTTTATTTAAAACTTTTTTTTTTTTTTTTTTTTTTTTTTTTTGGTAGCAACAGGGTCTGTGTTGCCCAGGCTGGACTCCAACTCTTGGGCTCAAATGATCCTCCTGCCTCGGCTTCCCACAGTGTTGGAATGACAGGCGTGAGCCACCATGCCCAACCAGTAAAGCTCTTCTGCACAGTTAGTGAGACAAGGCAGTGCACCGCCCTGTGCCCATGGAGTTCCACATGGAACCCAGATGCGGGTTTCCCCCGAGTGCGGGTTTTGCATGTCACTGCAAGTGAAACTTTGAAGTCTAGCGAGAGAAGACGCCTCCGATGGCCTTGTTCTGATGTCGTGGTGCGTGGAGGACGTTTACTCAGCGTGAAGTTAGAGGCAGCCCCCAAGCTTCCATAGTCCAGATGTGAGGTTTATTGCATTATTGCTGATGTGAATGTTAACTGTTTCTCATGACCTTTTTTTCTCTCCCCCAAGAAGAAAGACATCCCAAAGAGGCCTTTCTCTCAGTGTTTATCTACAATTATTTCTCCTCTGTTTGCTGAGGTAAGGTACCTGGCTGGCCTTTTCAGAGTGGGAGGCGGGGAGGGAAAAGCTGGGCACACGTCAGTGGTGATGTTGCCAGTTAAGAGTTGGGAACATTAAGACAAGCTGGCAGAGGCTTGGAAGCCCGCATCGTGCCTCCCCAAAGGCTGCCAGCGCCAGGCACCACCTTCTGCCCCCCTCTGTCCTGGGTGGTGCCTCTGTTGAGTCTCCCTGGGAGGTGCCCACTCTGCTGCAGCCTGGAATTTGTAGACTGGATGACAGTCATCAACCTGAAACCCTGTGTCACCCATTGTGCTGCTTTTTAGCAAATCTCATTGGGTACAGCCTGCTGTTTTTGCCTCAGACCAATTTCTGGCCACGTGAAAAGTACATTCTTACTTCTTAGTAGACGGATGCCCGGAGTCCTCCTGTCTTCCCTGAGCCACGTGCTTCACCCAAGTCCCTCTTCTGCTCAGCAGTATGGCGCCCTCCCTGTGCCTGCCCTCCCTGCTCCCTGCCCTCCCCCCACCTTCCTTCCCCCCAGCCTCTCCCTCCCAGAGGAAGGTGCTCCCATGGCTGGCCCAGTGCACACTGTGTTTTGAGAAATTTTCAAAAGTAGTCTGTAAGAATGAAGATTGTTCTGCATCTGGTTAGCAGCGGATTTGAAAATAAGTTGGAAGTCACCCCACCTTTCTTATTGTGCCCCTTCATGGCTGAGGCTGCGTTTGAGGTACTCACCATGGGCCGCATGGGGATCTGGCCCTCTTGGGGTGCTTTCCACTGTGGCTGTGTTTTGGGGTCCTTGTCCTTGAAGGGGATGCCCTTGGGAGGAAGTGTCACAGGAGCTCGTTCCCCTCCCCTGCGCCTGCATCCCGCAGCGGGGGAGCCCTGGCTGTGGGCTGTGCCTGGCCAGCCACGGTCCTGCCAGTGCCTCTTCCCAGCCCTCCAATGAGCCTTCACCCATTGCTCTGCCCAGCAGGTGCCCTGGGGGGTTTGTTTGAGGGCATCTGACCTGGCAGGTTGAGAGCAGGTGAGAGCAGGGCTGTGGGCAGAGCCCGAGTCCTCACCTGCAGCTTCCGTGGGAAACAGCTGAGCCTACTAGTGTTGGGGAAGCCACAGGGCACACGGAGGTCCTACTGGATAGTGTCCTGCTCCAGCCGTGGCACATGGTTCCAGGCACCTGTTTTTTTTCCTGCCTAGGATGTCCATGGTAGAGCGCCGTCCTGCTTTTCATTCCGTCCCTTGGGAATTGGCCCTGTGGGTTTTCCAGGCTGTGTTCCAGAAGAATCGTTTGAACCTGGGAGGCAGAGGGTGTAGTGAGCTGAGATCTCACCACTGCACTCCAGCTTCCCCATCCCTCCACCCAAATAAAAGGAATCTGAAGTGACCTGGAGCCGGAGTCAAAGCTTTTCCCAAACACCCTGGTGCTGCCATGTTGCTCCTTGAAAAGTGCGCTCTGCTGTTCTGTAGCTGGTGTGCCTCATGCTGTTCTTCCTGTTCATGTGTTTTCAGTTGAAGGAGAAGAGCCAGGCATGCGGAGGGAACCTGGGGTCCATTGAAGAGCTTCGAGGGGCCATCTACCTGGCGGAGGAGGCGTGCCCCGGCATCTCCGACACCATGGTGGCGCAGCTTGTGCAGCGACTCCAGAGGTAACTGCCTGGGGCCCCTCCGGGCTGGGGAGGCAGCAGCCTCTACTCGGGCCAGGACTGTTGCTGAGTTTGGCACTTCATTCTTGGCCTGTCTGTCCCTGTTACCTTGCAGGCCTCAGGGTGGAAGTAAGAGGTGAATTATAGGTGACTTGGTTCTGAGTTCTAGAAATCAATGTGAAGGAAGGATCCGAATCTGGAAACTGCTGGAAAAGCCACAGGGCTTTGTGTATTTGTAGCTCTTGCCACGCAAATACAGGGTGGCGGTAAAGTATCTGTCTCCTCTTAATTATGCAGCTTAATTATTGGCCAGAGAATGATCGTTCTTAGCCAAATGTTTGCATCTATCTGGTTTTTGGCTTTAAAGTTGAGTGTGAGAAATGCCAGCAGCTTGGGCATGGTCAACTCAGCGTGTTCCCATTCCCAGCACCCTCCCCCACCCCGTGCCATGCTGCTGCTTTCAGTTGTTAAGGCAAGTTGATCTGTACCAGTGCTGGCCAGTAGAAGTACAGGGGGGGCCCCACATAGAATTTTATGTTTTCTGCTGGATGTGGTGGCTCAAGCCTGTAATTCCAGTGTTTCGGGATGCCTAGGCAGGAGGATTGCTTGAGGCCAAGAGTTTGAGACCAGCCTGGGCAAAAATAGGAAGACCCTGTGTCTACCCAAAAACAAACAAACAAAGCCAGTCATGGTGGCTTGCACCTGTGGTCCTAGCTACTTGGGAGGCTGAGGCTGGAGAATTGCTTGAGCTGAGGAGTTTGAGGCTATGGCTGTGATCACCTCTGCACTTCAGGCTGGGCAACAAAGTGGGACCCTGTCTCGAAAAGCCAAACAAAAAAAGATTTTCACATTTTCTAGTAGCCTTGTTTTTAAAAAGAAAAATGAAGTGAAATTAGTTTCAGCAACACATTTTTTAACCTGCCAGATCCAAAGTATTATTTCAACATTAATACCAGCAATCATCAGTAAGATATTTTAAATTTTTTGGGGGACTATCTTTGGAATGATGTGTATTTTACACTTAGCAGCACGTCTCCATTCAGACTCAGCACATGGCACGTGCTCACTGAGCATCGTGGCTGGGGTTGACTCTGTTTACCCTTGTGCGGGTCTGTAGCTACTGATGTCTATGCTGTGTTAAAACTTGACTTCGCAGTGATTCACGAGGGAGGCCGAGTCGGTGCGCTCTTCCCTTTGTCTGTGATGTGTGCCCTTTTTTCCGCCTCTGTCCTCAGACAACCTGCCTCTCGGCGTGCTTATCATCTCCCTTGCAGGCTGGGCTGTGGCTTCCACTTCTTTCTTCTCTGGTCCTGAAGCTCCCTCTGAGCATTCACCCCCAATGGCTGCCAAAACCATGGTGGCCATGGCTTAGACTTCCTGCCAGTTTTGCTCCGAACACGTCATTTCAGTGGATGACCATAGGAAAAATGAGAGCTGCCTCTCATCTGAAGCATTTTCAGAGCCTTTCTGTCTCAGTTGCAATTAATGTTTGCATTCTTTTGTGTGACATCAACTCGTCCCATGATTTAGTCATTAATATTTCTTGAAAATTGAGTCTTAGGATCCATGGCTATTTGGTGTGCTTTTGGAGGACCTTATGTAACAATTTGTTCTCTGGTAGAGTGCCAAGTATTTCCAGGGCCTTAAAAGAGGAGCTCTGAATTGGAACATTTGAGATAAGTCTCGTTAAATATCCTCAGCCATTTCTCCTGGACATGTGACTTGGAGTCCATTGTAAAATGGTTGAGGGAATCTTGGTCATGAGGGGACCCCATCCTTATCCTTTTTTGTATCTTAAAGCAAGACAATATTGTAGAACGTTTGGAAGACACAGAAATTACCCACAATCCTACCACTTTAGCCCAAATCTCAGCATCATCTTTGCCTTCTATGGTTATACCAGGTTATAAACTTACTGAGTTCTTTTATCTACCTGCAAATTATAGTGCAGATAAGACTTTTTAGACTTTCTATAGTATTTAGAATACAGAATTTGCGCATGTAAACTAATATAGTGCACATATACAGGTTGAATATCCCAAATCCCCAATCTGAAACTTTAAGCGCCAGCGTGAGGCTCAAAGGAACTGCTCTCTGGGGCATGTCAGATTTCAGGTTTTGGGATGTACACTGGTAAGTATAATGCAGAGATTCCCAGATCCAAAGCCAGAAGGGTTTCAGATAAGGGATATGTCCAACCTGTAATTTTCTATGCACTTTTTAACTTGTACATATTTTTAATATTGTGTGTGTATATATATATGTAGATATAGATAATTACAATTTTTAACCTCTATTATTTCAGTTTTTATAGTTTACTTAACCGATTTTGTACTGTTGGGCATCGAAGTTTTTTCCAAATCGAGTATAATTACGAAAATCCAGAGAGACATCTTTGTGCAGATGTGTTTTTCCCGCTTGGGCCATATTTCAGAAGCAGTTCTAGGAAATAGATTCTTGGACTATCACTATTTTTGTGGTCAAAAAGGGTTTCCTGTACTCACATTAGGAATGTATATGCATCCTTGGAATCTTACTATGTCATTGTGTATGTATCAGTTTTCAGGTTTTGAAAATTGATCATAAGTTAAAGGGTTATTTCCTGTTTTATTCACATCTCTTTAGGGAGTCTGAACCCATTCTTGCTTTTTGTGATGTACTCTGGAGTTTTTGTGTGAGGATCATGATTTTTTCAATCTTTATGTGCATTCTTTTAAAATTAGACTTATTAACCCATTGATATTTGCTCCACTTATTTTTGTATGACTTGCAATTTCCTATGAAACATGAGATTTTGGTTACTATGTGAATTTTTGCATAGGGATGAGAAATGACATGTATTGACTTCTCTCTCTGTTTTTCCCTAGATACTCTCTAAGTGGTGGAGGAACTTCATCCCACTGAAATTCCTTTGGCATTTGGGGTTTTGTTTTTTCCCTTTTTCTTCTTCATCCTCCTTCTTTTCAAAAGTCAACGAGAGCCTTCGCTGACTCCACTGAAGAGGTGTGCCGCCGGGGGCCACCCTGATGCCGGGCGCCCACCCAGGGACACACACAGCCCTCGCTGTGCCGCAGCCAGATGAAGTCTCTCAGATGGGTGGGGAGGGTTAGCTCCTTCCAGCGATCATTTTATTACTTTTGTTTTTAATTTTAACCATAGTGCACATATTCAAGGGAAGTGTCTTTAAAAACAAAAACAAACCCTGAAATGTATATTTGGGATAGGCAACTAAAGACATGAAACCTCAGGTATCCTGCTTTACGTGGAGAACTCCCTCTGGGAGCTGGAGAATCGCTCTGGTGGATGGGTGTACAGATTTGTATATAGTGTCATTTTTATGGAAACCCTTTCGGCGTGCATAAGGAATCACTGTGTACAAACTGGCCAAGTGCTTCTGTAGATAATGTCAGTGGAGTAAATATTCGCCAGGCCATAACTTGAGTCTATTGCCTTGCCTTTATTACATGTAAATTTTGAATTCTGTGACCAGTGATTTGGGTTTTATTTTGTATTTGCAGGGTTTGTCATTAATAATCATTAATGCCCCTCTCTTACAGAACACTCCTGTTTGTACCTCAACAAATGCAAATTTTCCTCTTGTTTGCCCTGCACCTCTTTTGGTACATTTAAAGGTTGATTTCCTTTTTCATTGACGGTACTATTTCTTAGTGTTTTAAATTGGAACATATCTTGCCTCATGAAGCTTTAAATTATTATTTTCAGTTTCTCCCCATGAAGCGCTCTCGTCTGACATTTGTTTGGAATTGTGCCAGTGCTGGTCTGCACCAGATGGACCATCCTATCTAATACGATTTTTTGTTGCACCTTGTAGTGGATTCTGCATATCATCTTTCCCACCTAAAAATGTCTGAATGCTTACACGAATAAATTTTATAACATGCTTATTTTGCATACTCCTTGAAATGTGACTCTCCAGAGGACAGGGCACCTGCTGTGTACGTGTGGCTGTGCATGTGTACTCATGGCTGTGAGTGTGTAACAGGACACTTTGGAAGACTCCAGGGAAAAGTCCCCAGGTGTGGAGCTGCCGAGTGCCGAGTTCAGCACCCTGGACAGCTTGTGCACCTGTTCACTGAGACGATGTGGTTGGAGGTTGCTGATTTGTGTGATCGCTATAGTGCTTGCCAGGGACCTTAAGGGTTGTTTTGCTTCTCTGAAAGGGGCCCGTGCTTGCTATTCAGGCAGCTAGCCACGTCTTTCTTGGTTTGCTGTGGGGCCTTGCTTGGTGAGGGGGAAAAATCTCCGGGTTTCTGGAATGGGGAAGAATTCTTGCAGCAGCAGTTGACTGGTACATGAAGCATTCTTTGATGTTTGTGGAAGCAGATTATTGTTATCTCCTGTGGGTGTGCCAGTTCTTGGGGAGTAAGATATAGGCGTTTTGGAGGCAAGGAAGTTCATGTGTGAGCTCGGGGATGCAGCTCAGCTATCTGCTGGTCTAGTGGCCCGGAAGTCATGGGGAGGGGACAGAGCCCTGAGCTACAGATGCTTGAGTGGGTTATTGTATCGATTTGCTAGTACAGTCTGGTTTTCAAACTCTAAAATTGAGGTATTTTATTAGAAGTGGATTTGGGTTGAACCCTTAATTTCTATAAGGGATATATTTTGGTTAGGGGAAATAGAACTGAGTTGCTCATTCTTACTGTACTTATTACTCTGCACAAGAATGTTACCTTGAATAATAAAATTGGAGATGATTTCATTTTGTTTCCAGGGAGTATTTGTGTGGGAACTGTTGCCCTACGTGAGGCATGCGGCAGAAGCCAAAGGTTAGTTTCGTCCTTTGTAAGATAATCACACAAATGAGTCTGTGTTCCCCCAGGGTGTGCCGTTACCTGATTTTGAAGGGAGCCAAGGTGGACAGCAATTTAGAGTTCTTCAGATTTACAAATGGACAATGACATCACCATTTTTAACACTGAAGCCAATCTCATGCCAGTAAGGTGGCTATGCTGCTCGAGGGACTGGGTTCTAATGAAGAATACTGGTATGAACAGGGGTCTCTGCAGTCATCAGACTGATCATACTCAGCTCCTTTCTCTGTGGACAACAAGTGATTGAGAGTTGACTGGCAGTGTTTCCTGTCACTTCTGCCTCCTGGGGGAGATGGGGTTTGGTGGAGTTAGAAAGCAGCTTGCCTGTGTGCACTCTCCTGGGCTGTTACTTTCCGTAGACACACACAGTCGGCTGGAATGTTTTTAAGGGCAACTTAGCCAAGGAAGCTGGCCTTCGTGTAGCCGCTTCCAGCCCTGCATTCAGAGAGAACCCAGGTACCAGCTTTGTCACCGGAACCTGCCTCATCATCACCTGCCACTGGTCTGTAGCCAGGTCTGCGGGCCCAGCCTTGAGACAGGTGTACTGTCACCAGTCTCAGTGCCAGCCCTCAGCTGCTCCCGGCTCAGCTGCCCGGAGCCTGCAGCCTGGGTGGGGAGATGCTCAGCCTCTGTATCTGGGGGGCAAGGGCTGGGTGGCTGGTAGCTCCTGCCTTTTTGAGCTGTGTCTTGGCTGGCTGCTGCCGGTGAGGTCGACACCAGTGTGGTGTGGGATGCCCTGGCTGCCTCCCACTGGGCTTGGATTTTCTTGGACGTGCATCTGCCTTCCTTACTCAACAGTTTTATTCCCGAGTTGCTTTTGTGAAGTGGCTGGTGTGGTTTTGGATGTAGCATTCTGTACCTTTCCTTTGGCAAAACGTGGTCAGTTTGTAAACATTTTTGATATTTCTTTCCTTAAAAAACACAGCTTCTGCATTTCTGCTATAAAACGTCAGCAAAGGCAGAGTGAGCCTAACAGGGCACGTTCTTTAGCACAGGGACGGTGTCATGCAGGGGCCAGTAAAGCTCAAGAAAACGAGGATTTGCTGTCAGGGTGTGTCTCGTGTGTAGTGTGTCTGAAACTCCATCTGTCCCTGGCAGCTTGAGAGTGGACTGCTGCCCACACTGTAGTATTTTCCTGCGGGCACACAGGAGGCAAAGGTGCTGGTCACAAATAGAACCACCAGTGTGCAGCAGAGAGTTTGGAATCATTCAGAAATACGTGAGGAGACTGGCTCATCCCAAATCTCCAGGAATGAGTGACCGGGGACTTCTGGAGGGAGCCTGCTGCAGCTGTGTCACGTGCCCCGGAGCCATGCGCTCTGCCGCTGCCTGCAGGTGGGAGGAGCACGGGCTCCAGGGCCCCTCCCTGCCTCACCTCAACACTTGGGCTTTAGAAACCCAGCCGCTTCCCTCCCACGCACGCACACAGAAAATGAAGATGACAAAAAGTTAGCTGTTTTGCCTTAAAACGTCAATATGCTGGATTGTGGCGTGAGGTATTTTATTCCCTTTGTTAGTACTGGAAACCGTCTGGTACATCTTGTAAGGCAAATGATTAACACACGTCGGGCTCCTCGTCTGTTTGCAAGTCGCCGTTTCCAGGTACACCAGTCAGAGCTCCACAGAGAGGGCGTGTGTCTGGTCCTCGGGTGAGCAGGCTCTCCCGGCTGCAGCGCGGGGCACTGGAGAGAACGGGATTGAATCGGCCGTCCCCTCCGCTGTTTGAGGAGGAGGAGGGCTTAGGAACACCGAGGGACTGGCAACTACCCATCACCATCGAGAACAGGCAGACATTTTCCGAGCTGGGGCCTGAGCCGCCATTGGAAACCGTGTTCCCTGTGCAGTCCAACTGACTACCCCATGCCTGGGAGGAACAAGTACAAAAAGGTAAATATGTTTCTGAAGACAGGCACGATACTACTAGAGAATGCGGTTTCAAACCACAGCTGCAGGAGGATACAGAAGTAATGACAGGTGCCGGGGACTAGTACCATGACTTCACCGTGCTCTGCAGGAGCACGCTCACTACACGCTCATCACGCAACATACCGCAGATCAGTGACATACAGCTTTTCATGCTTGTGACACAGACAGCAAAACACCACGGCTTACTATCTTCTCATTGTGTACAGCCCTCACGGTACGGTGACAGTCCAGGTATTGCACTGGATCTCGGCTTTTCTTCACAGAAAACAACGCGCTACAGTTTGGAAAGAGTTACCACTTAACGATTTGGTCAACTTGCATCAAGAAGCAGGTTGGGCACAGGTGTTTTCAGTTGAGCGTGAAACGCGCGGTGGAACGCAGTGTGCTGCAGATTGCTTATTCGTCACAGGAGTGAGTCCTACTAACTTCCTATTACAAAAGTAGAAAGACTGGAAACGAAATCTGAAAGTGATCTCATTTGCTTAAGGCTGCGCCGAGTGTATTGCAAACACTGGGAAATCCACTTCGTAAAACGCAGCAGCCCAGGGGTGAGAATCATAAGTTTCCTTTTTTAGGAAAAAAAAGACAATTTGCACTGTCTTGTGTTGAACGGATGTGTGTGTACTTTTTTTCCAGGGGCAGGGTGGAGGGGAAGATGGTGTTTGGCACTCGTAATGACAATGTTTTAATACTGGCACGAGCCAAAGAACAGCGCCCCCAGCGGGTGCCTGGAGGTGGGAGTGCTGTTCTGTTCAGACGCAGAGAAGACAGGGTTAAAAAACACGGCCGTGGAGACAGGAGAGGTGCTGGGAAGCCATGTTTTTGATTTTCAGACAGGTGTTAATTTTACCAGGCTTCATGAATGCAGAAGAAAGGAAACTTCTTCCAGGAAAGCAGCCACTGCAGAAACAGTAATGTGTCCCGCCATCAATACACAAGAGACTCTTTGTGACTCAACACGGGGGCTCGTGAGGAGGAGCTGGTGGCACTGCGGATCACTTCCATCCACCTGCAACGCAGGAAAGCCAGTGACACCCTCGGGACGCTGTAGTCCACCTTTTGCTTGGGTGGGCATCACTTACAGAAACACAGGGTCATGTCATGCCACCTGGTTTGTAATCTGCCACTTCAGTAGAAGAGCAAGGCAACGCCCAGCACCCAGGCCTGAGACCCATGGGCCTGGGCACACACACTCAAGAAGGGAGCTGGAAGTACCTGAGACCCAGGTGCCTTGCTGAGGTGACACGGCCCACTCCACTGGAGCTCTGAGGAGTGAGGTGGCCTCTGGTTGTTGGGGAGAATGCTACCTCCTATTTTCATGGACAGTGCAGAGAACGGTGGTACATGCCCCATCCTGCGTAGTGAAAGCTCCCCGCTCCTGGATTTTTTTTTTTTTTTTTTTTTTGAGAGGGTCTTGCTCTGTCACCCATACTGGAGTTGAGTGGGGCAGTTCTAGCTCACTGCAGCCTACCTCTGGGGCTCAATCAATCAGTCCTCCAGTCCAAGCCTCCCAGGAGCTGCCAAGTCTCCCTTTTATTTGTGTATTTGCTGTATACCAGTGGTTCTCAACTGGGAGCAAAGCTTGTCCCATGTGGTAAAGTCTGGAGACATTTTTAGATGTCACAGGGAGGGGTTGCTGCTGGCATCCAGTGGGTCGAGGGGCCAGGGATGCCGCTAAACACCCTGCAGGACGGACTCCCCGAATTACCTGGCCTCCTTGTCCCAGGCCTTTCAGGATCTGGACTGCAAGGCTGGACTCTTTGGCACAATAATAACAAAATCCCAACATGGATAAATCCAGCTGTTGAGCTCAGTCCTTCAAGCTGAGTTTTTCTGTCCAGGATCAGATTTGAGAATGACTCTCCTCTAGGTTCCTTTTTCAGGCAATAGTGCTTAGGAAGTGTTAACTTTGGATGTCACAGGAGTTTTAAACTCTGGTTTTAAAGCACTGTGCTAATTTACTGGAAGTGTGCACTGTTCCTGATTGGCCTCACTGCTTTAGAAATCCTTGTAGAGTTCAGCATCATTTCTCTCCAACAGCAGCAGAAAAGCTGCTCCCTGAATGGGGAACTGCCCTGTCTGGACTGCTGCCCGAGGACCCCTCCCTCCACCCCAGGGGGCGGCTCAGCAGTGCCAGCTGCCTGGGTAGTCTGCTTGGACATGCAACTTGCAGAGGCCCAGAATCTTTACTCAAAATATGAATTGCAGGTACAGCCTAAGCCTGACTCTGTTTCACTTTCATTTCTTGGCTAAATGAGGTCTGCAGCCCCTGGGTCCCATTACATCATGTAGGTGGTTTCACTGATAAGACAGACAACCCCGAGGAGAACGAAGAGTCCTTCCTTATAAGGTCCCCTGAACCAGCATTTCTGCCATGACCCTGGCAGGAGCTGCGTGACTACAGGCCTAATACAGCACAGACTGAGAAGCCTGAGGTGCGGTTTGGTTTTTGTTATTAAAGGCTTCCTCTGGGTGGGTAAAGCTGGGCCAACAGAAGCTGGTTTAGCGGCACCAACTGGGGTTCAGCTTCACAGTCACGGACATGCACCACATTAGAGACCTGCAAGTGAGCTGGCTAGGGCCTCAGCCAAGGCCATGCGGGGTCAGGGCCCAGGGAAGCCGGAGCTTCCTGGGGGCATCTCACTTGGGAGAAATCCTGGTGTTTGGAAGAGGTGTCCTCTGCTGCAGGGCACTGTGTGTGGGAAAGGGGGTGCGTACCTTTCAAATGTGTACTCGCTTTCCGCCCTGAAGTAGTAGACGTGGGACTTGAAGTGCAGCTTGAACACGTGGTCTTTGTGGATGTTCTCAGATTCCGAGGGAATGGTCAGCGAGTATCCGAGAAGAGGCAGGCTGGCGAGGGGATGATTGTCCTGGAAAGGGGGAACGAAGCGGCTTTTCAGGGGCAGCTTCTGCTAGCGGGCCTGGCTGCTACCCCTTATTGGGCAGGGACTCTGGGAG